CCCTGCTTATTGCCTGTGATACCTTGAGTAAGAAGCCTCCCTCTCACAGTAAAATCGGTTCCTTCTAATTCTAAGATCCCAATTTGCTTCACTCTATTCCAAGATCAGAGGGTGCGTCCTCTAACCTCAGTCAGCCATATTCTAAATGTCTGCCATTCATCATAAGACTAGGGTAGAAAGAGAGTTTAGATAGATCAATACAAATCCGCTACTGGAAAAAAGAGCACATGAAGATTGCCTGTCGAACATTTAAAATAATTAATGACACAAATAGACTCATTCATTCAATAAGCATTTATGCAGTGTTCACTACAGGCAGGCACTCAGGTAGGCACTAGGAATGCAGACCACCACTTACACCAGGGTCGGGGAACCTGTGGCCTCAAGGCTACATGTGGCCTTCTAGGTCCTCACGCATGGCCATTTGCATCCAGAACACAGAACCACAGAACAAATCCCCTTAATAAAAAGGCACAAAAAGTTTAGATTCAGTCAAAGGGCCACACTCGCGGACCTAGAAGGCCACATGTGGCCTTGAGGCTACAGGTTCCCTTACCCCTAACCTACACCTATGCATTGTTGCCAAATTTCCAAGCCATTCTCAGACAAGGTGATTAAAGGATGTCTCCCAAGGAGGAAGAAAAATAGTCCATTCTTTACTGAGATAAGTCATACCCTTTTTCTATATGGCAAGAAAGAAAAACTACCAGTGATAACATTCAGGTCGTGGAATATTAGAATGGAGTGGCAGAGGTAATGACCCAGGAAAGCTGTGGTAGAATAAGGATTTTTTGTTTTTTCAATTATAGTAGCTTTGCTCTATAACCCAGCCTTCAGACAAACAGATCCCCTCCCCCAAAGAAAGAAGGTATAATGAAATCCTTTCTATTATTTCACTTTAAGTAGTCTTTTTGCATCCACTGGCTGATCTGCCATTATAAAGCCCTTAGGGTGAAAAAAAAATTTGAATTAGAGGGTGTTAGTACAGTTCCCATTTCCCAGTTTGTGTCTTGAGCCTGCCAATTATTTTTTTTTCTGTCTGAAGCAATGGAAATTTTCTATGGATACATAGCAACGTACATTTCCATTTTCTACCCCAGTAAGTTTGTTTGGACTAGCTTGTACAATCTCTTGGTAATAGCTACATGTTAGAAAAGGAAATAAAATTATTCTCAACTACTCTATGCTTTCTTCAAAAGGTAGTTTCTCCTTGAACCTTTGCTTCACAGATATACTATCTGCTAAATTTCATTAGCATAGCTCAAAGGAAATTTTTATTGAACAGTATGATGTGAATGCCAATGAATATTGTAAAGTCTTATAAAGTGAACCCTAACACTAGAGTTGAGGTGAGGCGGGTTATTTATTTCATTTTAGAATTAATTTCAGAACATGTAACAATTGGAAAGTTAGTATTTTACAAATATTAGAATATTCATTTTCAGTTTGTATTTCCTTCCTTTGCAATGAACATTTAATGGATAATGTGGGCTTTTGTATTAAAAAAAAAGTTATCATTTGAAGAAAAGCTTTTCCAAATTGCAAAGAAATGTACCCTATAACTGTTTGATATTTTGTATCTCCCAAGTCAGTGAGTAGTGGGAACTAGTCCAATATCTGATGTCATGTTCTAATATAGATAATACTTATATAAAATTATAATTAGGGATGTGTAAATATACCTGTGGTTTGTAAATAGAGCCCTTTAAGTGGCAAGAGGAACAAACAGGGTGTCAGAGGGCTGGATCAGTGGCATTTTATCACTACAAGAAAAATGCTCAAATCACAAGAAGACATTTTCACATGAGGCAGTTTACTAAACATAAAACAAAAAAAGGTATAATATTTGCCCCTGTATAATTTAACCACAATCCAAAGAGGAAACTCTAAATTAGATCACAACACTTAAAAAAAAACCATTCAATTCAGTTTTATTATATTTTCTCCATTCCTTCATGGACTTGAGATGGATGGGGCTACAAGGGAAGGAAATCCAAGTGTTCTAACAAAGAGAGTCAAACCTTGAGTTGTGAATTATAAGGCAAAAATATACAAACACATACATTCCTTGAATGTCTATTTGAGTACCAACTTTGCGCAAAAGTTGTTCAAAGTTGTACAACAGGACTTTATGTATATCGTCTTTTGATCTTCATAATAACTCTGAAGAAGGGCAAATTTCCTATTTTGTTGTTTTAGTGCAAATATCATTATCCCATTTTAAAAACCCTCAAAGTTGCTTGTCAAAGGTAACACAGGTAAGAAGTACGACTGGAAGTAAAAGCCAAGTTTAACGCTTTATACTTCGCTGCCTTTATTGTCCTTGGCCTCGTGGAGTCTGGTATCTAGTGGGGGAGATAAATGACTTTAAAACTCAGAAGGGGGTGTGTGTGAGGAGTCATCCAAATGGATAATATAACGTAAGTGACATAGAAGCTTAGGGGAGGAAATAATCATTTCCTTGAAGGGGTGGGGTGGGAATCTGCAAAGTAGAGAAGGTAGAATTTTCAAAAGGCAAAGATGGGAGGGCTATAGTGTCAAGATCTAAGGAGATAATATATGTAAAAGACTTGGTAAACTGAAAGTACTAGACAAATGCCTGCTATTCTGTGTGCAAAGGCAGGAAAGTAATAAAACATTTTAGGAAATAGAAAGTGGTCCTAGATGGCTAGAATGCAGGAAATAGTGAGTGATGAAGCCTAAAAAACCAGTCAGGACCAGATTATTCAAAGACAGACTAGTATGTTTATATTCTATTCTGAAGACTATGGGGAACTATTGAAGGCTTTGATGGTGGAAGGATGACCTGAACAATGGGAGTCTAAATTAAGATTTTGGCAGTTGGAAGAAAAGAAAAGCTATGATGGAGAAATGAAGGCTACTGATTGGAGGTGGGGATTAAGAGAAGAAAAGGAGTCAGAGATGACTCCACAGTCTCCAAGCATGATGACATTAATGATAGTGGCATGAACAGGAATAGGGAAATCCAGGAGGAAGTATAAGGAGGAGTTGTCTTTAGGTATTTGAAATTTGAAGGGCTATCATACGGAAGCAGGATTAGATTGTTGTCCTTGGCCAAGAAGGAAGGCAAAAGAAGGCAAGTGGAAAGAGGCTGATTTTAATTCCACGCAAGGAAAGACTTCATAACAATTAGACTTCTCCAAGAGTGGTTAGTTGCCTCAGGAAGAAGAGGGTTAGACCTTGCTGGACGTTCTCCAAGTTAAAGTTGGATGACCACTGTTCACTGCCAGGATGATGATAAAGGGATTCTTTTTATATATACACATACATGGATTATAACAACACAAATGAAGATAACAGTAAAAGCTATAAAACTCTGGTCAAATACACAATCCAAGCCGACAATAATCATGAAAAACAAGGCTGAAAATCACTAATAATTACATAAATAGAAAACGAAATAATCCTGAAGTTCTACTAACAACTATCAGATTAGCAAACGTAACACACATACATACATACACATATAGACACACACACACAAAGGAAAATGATAAATATTAGAGGACAAGTGCACTCCTGCACTGCTGACAGAGCTGTGAATTGGTCCCTCCATTTTGGAAAGCAATTTCCAATTATGCTTCAAAATGTATTAAACTGTGCCTTACTCTTTGATCCAGAAATTCCACTATTAGGCATATTCCTCAAAGGACATTTTTTTAAAAATAAGTTTAATAAAAAGACCCATAGAGACAAAAATGTTTAAAGGACCTCTTATTATTATGGCAAATAAATAGAAATTAAGGGGGTGTTCATAAATTGATGAATGGCTGAACAAATTATGATATATTAATATAATGATAAAATTATACCATAAGAATCATGAAAGTAATAGTTTCAGGGAATACTAGGGACACTTGTACAGTTAATACAGAGTGAGGTGAGCAGAACCCAGAGCACAATTTATACAATAACAACATTGTAAAGACAAACAACTTTGAAAAATTTAAGAAATTTCATCAACATAATGACTAACCACAGTTTCAGAAGATGGTGGATGAAGCGTGCTACCCACATCCTGAGAAAAGCCATGGATCCAAGGTGCAGAATGAGACATTTATTTTAGGACATGGCCAATGCAGAAATTTGTTTGGCTTAACTATGAATATTTTTTTCCCCTACTTAGTAGTATTTTATTTTTTCCAATTACATGCAAAGATAGTTTTCAACATTCAGTTTTATAAGATTTTGAATTCCAAATTTTTTTCCCCTCCCTTCCTTCCCCCCTCCCCAAGATAGCAAGCAGATCTGATACAGATTATATGTCTACAACACATTAAACATATTTCCACATTAGTCATGTTGTAAAAGAAGAATCAGAACAAAATGGAAAAGACATGAGAAAGAAAAAACAAAGAGTAAAAACTGTACAATTTGATCTGCATTCAGACTCCATAGTTCTTTCTCTGGATGTGGATGGCATTTTCTATTATGAGTCTTTTGGAATTGTCTTAGATCATTCCATTGCTAAGAAGAGCCAAGTCTACCAAAGTTGATTATTGCACAATGTTATACGCATATTTATTATAAAGGAGAAGAAAAGGTAGGAAGAAGAAAAGGAAAGATTAGGGCTCCTTTCCCTGCCCCCAAAGTGAGAACAGAAGGAAATCCAGAAGGAATAACAAACAATCAGAACTGCTTTGAAATTTATATTTTGAATTTATTTCATTTAAAAAGAAAAACAAGTTCTACATAATCAATTCACAATTTCATATACGATGCTCTCTTTCTGTTCCACAATGGATATGGAAATGCTCATTTTGTGTTTGTAAAGTTGAGAATTAAAAAAACCATCATCATGTATAACCCCTTCATTTTACAGGCCCAGAAGTGTTAACTGACTTTTGTATGTGTCTTATCTTTTCTACTAGACTGTAAAAACCCTGAATGGAGTTGTTGTTTAGTTGATTAGTTGTGTCCCACTCTTTGTGATCCCGTTTGGGGTATTCTTAGCAAAAATACTAGAGTGGTTTGCCATTTCCTTCTCCAGTTCATTTTGCAGATGAGGAAACTGAGGCAAACAAGGTTAAGTGACTTGCCCAGGGTCACACCACTAATAAGTGTCATGTCTGAAGATCAATTTGATCTCAGGTCCTCCTGACTCCAGGGCCAGCCTAATTCATGTTGCACACTACAGGTATTTAATAAATGTTTGTTGAGGTACATGGAATTCAATAAACCTAGTGAGGCAGCCTCTGTCAGAGGTGACAAAGATCATCAGTTATTGTTCATGATGATGCAAGAGTTTTAAGGTCAGAGAAAAGGAACCAAACCTATTCACAGTATAGACATTTTCTGAAACGATTAAGAAAGCACTAAATTATTTTTAAAAAAGACTTAGACAAAGTAGGAATGAATATACAATGTACAAAAAACTCATTTAATTTCTTCTTTACTTTTTTTTGTGATGGTAAGGTTTATATGCAAGTAAGAGAGAGAGAGAAGCAATCCCAAAGAGGAATGTTTGCAGGAACCATAACAGTCGAGCCCGGCCATTTGTGATACCTTTTTTACTGCATGAAAAAAAAAGGACAACATGATCATTTTCATTTTGTATAAAGGGTTCTACATCCAACAGTTAGGATTCCTTTATAAACATAAAGATCCAAATGAAGGCAGCATTTATTCTGCAGAGATTTCATGATACCAATTAAACATATTTTCTAGGCCATTTTTTAGATTAAAAAAACATTTAGATGAAAGCCATATTGAATTTTTTTGGCAACCCCATATTTTGCTTAGGATGTATTTTTAAAAGCAATATAATGGGATATGTGATGATCTGGGCATAGTTTATCTACAAGATCTGCTAGTACCACTTGTCTTTACTTGCTTGAACCATTTGATAATTTTAAGAGATTTTCATAACCAGATAATTTAGTCACACAAGGTATCTCTATTACAGATGCAACCATGAAGTCCTGAGTATATAGGAACAGTGTCTTGTTCTTTTTCCATATTTTAATCAAATTAAGAGATCTGACTCCAAAATTCTAACTTTTCAAATGGCTGAAAACATTTTTTCTTAGTATGTGGGCTAGCAAATTGTGGGAAGCACGTGGCCTAAACCTAATTTATGATGTGAGGTAATGATGTCTCACCAAGAAAGAATGAGAGAAAGAAAGAAAGAAACCAAGGAAGGAAGGAAGGAAGGAAAGAAAGAAAAGAAAGGAAAAAGAGAGAAAAAGAGAAAGAAAGGAAGGAAGGGAGAAAGAAAGAAAGATGGGAGTGAGGGAAGGAGACAGGAAGGAAAGAAGAAATGAGTAAAAGAGAGAAAGAGAGAGGGAAGAAAGAGGAAAGAATCAAGGAGAGAAAAACAAACTGCTATTTAGTGACTTCAAGCTATGAATAGCCTGCAGCTGCACCAATGCTAACATAAAAATTTTTTACTAGATTGATTCCTAAACCAAATATCTTTTTCAAACTTTGTCCAAAATAGCTATTATTTTGAAAAGAACTTAGGCTTTCATTCTTTACCCAAGGTCCTGACTGGTCAAGGATGGTATAAAAGAATAGCACTGGATTTGGAGTTGAGTATCTGGGCTGAGATCCCCGCTCTGCTACTTGGTAAACGTATGACCTTTAGCCAAGTCTCTTAATCTTTTTTTGGCCTCAATTTCCTCATTGGTAAAATGAGTGGGTTGGACTAGAAAACCCCTAAATTCTATCATCTTTTCATATGAACTCTAACCTCCCCTTAAAACACTGATCACTATCTTTCACATCAGAAGAATTAACTGAATTGCCTAAGAATAACAGCTCACTTTAACTCAGTTTATTTCCAATTTCAGTGAATTAAAGGAAAGGAAGGAAGTTGGGATTAAACAAAATTCTGACCACTTACTTGCACAGTATCACAGCATATATGGCTTCTCCCACATGAATCAACCAGGAAAGCCAACACCTAAAACAGAAAGCCAGTGATGATTTGAGATGAATTGTTTCCAATAAGTGAATCCTGTCACAGAAATGCAAAAGGAAAGATGCTAGCTAATTGGGAAACAGATGCTGGTAGAAGATTAAAATGCAGAAGACCGGTGACACAGGCCTTCCATCTTCAGTAAAATACTGCACCGTCAACATCTATTTTTTCCAGATCTCACTTACACATTACGTATGAGTACCAGATGGTTATCCACCAAGTACTGAGTAAAGAGCCCGAGAGGTCCAAGTTTCTGATAGGGGATGGTCTGAGGCCAGAAGGATACCCACTGAAAAAGAAGCAGAAAAGGAACAGAATACCAATTAGGTCACCTGATAGCCATGGAAACTTTCCCTTTTAAGAGACTGGCTGTAAAAGAATCCTCTACAAAGCAGGAACTGCCCCTTATCTGTATTTTGAAAGGCAGCTAGTAAACTGAGTTCTACTAACATACATCAGATCACCACAGAAATTCTGAATAAAATCCATTAGGTCCCAGCTCATTTGTCCCAAATTCCAAAATCCCAGCAAAAGGGGAACACTGTGTATATGGTTTGAATTCTAGGTACCCATGGAAAAGTGGACACTTGAAAATGATAAGCTAGACCAAAACGACTAAATTTGATGATACTAAATAACCCTCCGGAAGTGTAGTTGTTAACCTGGGCAAATTTCTTTCTGAAAGAGATTACAACTTTCCTATTACAAATGGTACTGCTTCCATGAAGCCTTTCAGTGGTTTCCACCTATAATGACCTTCTTCACCCTCAAATTTCACCAAGTATTTTGTTTTTCTATCTATCTGGTGAACTATCAAGGTAACTATGCACTTGTATGCTTCTACAGGTGTCTTAATGTCATGTAGACTATGAGATTCACGTCTTATCTAAATTGTACATGTCCCTCAGAACCTAGTACAGTGCTCTAAACACAAAAGGAACGCAATGTTTGTTGAACTGAACGTAATTCATATTTTTCCACTTACTTTTCCCACGTATAAGACTGGGGTATTGGAAGAATAAGTCCTCCCTCACTATTCTACCTTGACAAGTAAAATTCCATTCTATCAAATACTATTATTACAGTACAAAAATAAAGGCATAATAAAAAACATTTTTATACCACAGTACTACTGCCTATTATAATGTCTAAAGTCCTTAGCATAGCATTCAAGGCCTCCATAATCAGACCCCACCTATTTTCCAGACATTATAGCCTTTTCTCCTTTTAACAATCAATGGCCCCACCTATTATATTTCATGTGTATTCACTTTTGATCGCTCTAACCCCCTTTTCTGCAAAACCCTACTCTCTCCAGATCCCATTCACCCTTTACGGCCTGGGTTAAGATTCCCTATCTCCTTCCTGAGACTGCTGCTTCCAGACAAATTTTTCCTTACTTTGCCTCATATGTGGGCTACTATATTAGGCTTGCTGAAAACAATCTTCATTTTACTCCCACATCACCTAGTCTCTACCTGCCTCATGGACCTTCAAATGAGCTTGTCCCATCCCCCTCCATCATGGACCTTCAAATGAGCTTGTCCCAAACCACTTCCTTTCCAGTTCTGAAACCATAATCAAATCAATTCTGCCACTACTCCTGGACAGGGTATATATTTTGTCTCTTCCCTCCCCCTCCCCATTAGCATGTAGGCTCTTTAGGGACAGTGAATGTCTTCACTTATGCTTTTGTATCCTCAGCATTTAGCTCAGTGTTTGGCACATAGTCATTCTTTTCCATCCTTCCTTTTGGAAGATGACCAATGACATCATGGAGTGATGTCTTGACTTGCTGAGTGATCTGCATTTAAATGAGGCAGAGTTGCACAAAGTTGTCAGCCTCACATAGCAAACACATAATAAATGCTTTTAAACATGCCTCCATTCAGTCATACTCTGAACTCCTGTACTGGTCATCTGGTACTCTCATAAAGCTATATTGGCATGTGTCTTGTCTCCCTAATCTGCCCACCACTTTTGAGAGCTGAGAACAAATGGATTAAGTTTGTGGCTGCTACTAGAAGGTAAGGGTCAGGGGAAGGGCTGGGCAAGCAAGTAGAGGGTTGCCTCCACAATAATGGTTCACTAAAATTTTAAGGTTGTCTCCCCTATTAAACTGTAAAATCCATAAGAGCAGCTACTTTTTCCTTTCAGTCCACTGCTTGGCATAGAGTAGGCTTACTAAATGCTTGTTGCTTAACTGAATGCTGACAAATCCATTTCTTCACAACCACCCTGTTAAGCAGGTACTGCAAGTATTGCACCCAATTTACACGTAAGGGAAGCTATAGGTTGGATTATTGAATTGAAAAATCAAATCAACAAGCATTTATTAAGTGCCCACTAAGTGCATAAAAGGGTCTTGTTCAGGATTATGCTGCCAGTGGTAGAGAAAGCTCCTCTCCCCCCACCTCAACTCTAGCCTTCTCACTCCGGGTCCAGAGTGAGTATTTACAAGCCATGGACTCAGCCACCGCAGCTGGTCCAGCCCGACCACCTCATCTCCATCCAGACTCCTGTAACCTAGGCAACACAGGGATGGGAGAGGGAAGAAGGCGAAGGGAGATGCCCGCATGCGCAAGAACCTCAAGAAATGCAAGCCGAGAGGAGAGCAGTGCGCCTGCGCCGCTCGGACGACTTTTAAAATTTCACCAATCCTTACCGTGAAGTATCCCAGACCTATGGCGGTGATCACTATGCCCACCGGGCTGCCCCTCCGGAAGTAAACGCCAGACAGCTCCGAACCTTTCTTTTCCTTCGCCTCCATTCTGAAAGCTTTGTCAGCGCGGGACACGGCTCCCACCCTCTAGCTAAGGAAAAGTGGACTAACCCGTTCCTGGAGTGAAGAGCGCGTGCGCAAAGGCTCGGACCTAGGCAGTGTGTGTTGGGGAGGGAGGGGGGAAGAATACGCCTGCGCTCCTCTCGTGGGGTACCTTCCCCGCAGCCCCACTCACCGTGTGGTAACCGAAGGCCACAGTGATGACTACGATCCAGAAGAGGCTGCCTCTCTTGAAGAAGGCCGCACCGCTCCCCGCTGCTTTCATGGTCCTCAGGCTTTGCACTGCCCAGCGTGAACTGTTCAGGACCTGGGAAAAAAAGCAGACAGGGGGCGGGACGGGGGCGGAGCTGGCCGCCCTCTGAAAACCACGTGGAGGGGGCATTCTCGTGCGTGCACCAGAGTCTGCGGTCCACCCACGCTCGCTCACCCACACTCCTCCTATGCATAGGAGTAATGCACACACATGCATGAGCGTACATGCACGCGCATGCATGTGTGTGTGGATAGCCCAAGCACAGATTCTACGAGAGTGAAAACTATCAATACCATGTGCTATGGGTTTAGGGCACCGTTGCTAATATTAACTTCCGTGCTCATTCAAAGATCACTGACTGGCTCATCAATCACACCTGCTAGTTTTCTTAATAGCTTATGAATGTAATTCATTTGGGCTTGGTGACTTTGAATTATTCAAAGGATCATGCATTTAGATGTAGAAGAGACTTATGAGGCCATCGAGCCTAAACCTTTTGTTACAGAGGCTCAGAGAAATTAAGTGATTTGCTCAGGGTCAGAGAGCTAGGAGTAAGCATCTGATGTGGAATCGAAACCAAGGTCTTGCTCACCACAAGTCCAGGGCATAGGTGCTCTTATATTATGCCTTTACTTATCTTGTTTTTCAACTCCTGTCAGGTAATTTTGTATTGTTCTTTAAATTTTGAGCTATTCGTGGGGAGATTATTTAAATGTAAAAAGTCAGAAACAAAAATATTGGATGATAATGAAAGAGTCTATCTCATAATTATTCATTTCATAATTATGTATGTTTCTGAATGACTATGCAATCAACAAGCACTTGTTAAAATGCCTTCTATGGGCCAGAAACTGTGCTAAGCACTGAAAATACAAAGAAAGGCAAAAAATTATTCCTATTCTAAAGAAGCTCACAGTCTAATGGGTAAGATAACATGCAAACAGCTATGGACAAATGAGACGTGTATACAGGATAAATTGGAGGGAATAACTGAGGGAAAGCCCTAGCATTAAGGAGGACTGGTAAAATCTTGTTGCTGAAGATGAGATTTTAGCTGGACTTGAAGGAAGCCCAAAGACAGAAATTAAGAGGGAAAAAATTCTAGGCATGGAGGATGGCCAGTGAGAAAATGCACAGTCATGGACTGGGGTATCCTTTTCTGAAAAGCCAGAAGGCCAGGGACACTGGACAGAAAAATACATGGAAGAGGGCAAAGTGCAAAAAGACTGGAAAGATAAAAGTGGACCAGGTTATGAAGGGCTTTAAAAACAAGACAGGATTTTATATTTTATCTTGTAGGGATAGGGAGCCACAGAAGTTTATTGAGTAGGAGGATGACATGCATTATGGAAAGGAAGTTCAGATTCCTTTCCGTGATTGTGGAAAATTTTAAAGCACGAAAAAATTAATGACTTTAAAATTAAGAGAAAAAGATACATATTTGGGGGGGGTGACCTTTCCATTAAATATATGTGATTAAAGTCAGACATCCAAAGTTCATGGGGAATTGACACGAATGTATAAAATAACCATTTAACAAAAGAATAAGAGGTCTGAAAACATGAACAAATAGTTTTCTTTCTCTTTTATTTATTTATTTTTATTTATTTATTTTTTTTAGGCAACTGAGGTTAAGTGACTTGCCCAGCTAGTAAGTGTCAAGTGTTTGGTCTGAGGCCGAATTTGAACTCAGGTCCTCCCCACTTCAGGGCTGGTGCCACCTAGCTGCCCCTTCTTCTCTTAAAAATAGATTTATTTTCTAAATCACCTACAGTTCTGCATATATTCTTCCCTTCGTTTACCCTTACCCAGTGAGTCATCCTTTGTAACAGACTAAAAAAGAAAGATGCTGAAAAAGCAGTCTGGCAGAAATTAGACTAACACTTCAACCATACTGCATAATACTTTCTAAATGGATATATGACCTTAATATTAAAGATCATAGCATTAAAAATTAGAAGTGAAATAAATCATATACTTTGTTAAGGGGCCACTTGAACTTATTTTTTTGAGTTGCCACATTTTCTAGAAACACTGGACCTGGAGCATGTGGGAGGCCCTGAATGTGTCAAGGACAAAGCCCCTCCTGAGCTGACCTAATTGATTGTTTGCACCCCAAGCTGGACTTGCTGTGTGTCCTTGGGAGTTGAATCAGCTACAAAGACAGGCGTGGGTCAGTCTGCACCAGACTGCGAAACTGTTGCAGCCGGAATCCTTGTAGTTAAGCAGACTGTTCTCTCTTCATGGTCTAGTTTACAGCGGTGGGGAACCTGTGGCCTCCAGGCCACATTCGGCCTTCTAGGTCTTTGAGTTTGGCATTTTTACTGAGTCCAAGTTTTACAGAACAAATCCTTTTAGGGGATTACATTATACATTATACACCTCAGGTAACCTACATGTCTTATCTGGAAACTGCCTCCAAGTTGGCTAATCAGCTACTGTTTCCTTGTTCCTTTGTTTGAACCTTATGCAATGTGTAATTTATGCACATTTGGGGGAATGGGCCACCCCCTTTTTGGCTCTTTCATCTACTGGATGACTTAAACTTCTTTCTAAATTATTCCAGTTAGGAGTGTTTTGTTCTCAGTCCATACTAAATACTTTACAAATATTATCTCATTTCTTCCTCACAACAATTCTGGGAGGTAGATGCTGTTATTATCACTATTTTACAGTTGAGGAAACTGAAACAGACAGAGGTTAAGTGACTTGTCCAGGTTCACACAGTTAGTAATTGTCTGAGGTCGAATTTGAATTTCGGTCTCCTTCACTCCAGAATCAGGGATCTATCCACTGCACCACCTAGCTGCCTCTGATGGATCACAATAGGAAAAGGCTTGGGGCAGGGAGGTCTACTAGAAGGCCATTGCAACACACCATGTGTGAAGTTACAAGGGCCTCTCTGGTGGCAGAGGAGACAAGGGAGTATAGAGTCAAAATGTTAAGAATGTAGAAAAAGAGAGAAAGTCCAGGATGATACCTAGGTTAAAAAAGCAGCCCCCTCCCCCCAATACATAACATTACAAAGGAAAACAATTATATTTAAATACTTATCAAGGTATTTTTAAAAAAATAATTTCAAGTACCTCACATTAAGAAATCCCAGATAAATGCTTATTGATTGTTTGACTGGTATAAACTCTATCATTTCTAGGATACCAACTCAGTAGTCATCATGGCTCCTGTAATATTGAAGCCTTGGAATTTTATTCTGAGTGTTGGACCAAACACTAAGTTAATGTTGGAAAGAGGACTCTACTGAGTTGAAAGAACCATACAGAAACCAGTAAATATAATACCAGGTAAAGTGAGGTAGAAGAGAACAATTACAAATGCAGAGTTCAGGGAAGGCTCCGTTGGGGGTACGGTACCTAAGCTGAGAGATAGGCTAGGGAACAGTCAATTCAGTTTGGCTGCAACTTAGAGCTGGTGAAAGGGAAATATGAAACAAAGCTGTCTAATAAGGAGAAATACTGTAGAGGGAATTAAATACCACCCTCTCTCCAGAGGTTTACATTTTGTCCTAGAAGCAATCGTGTAGCCCTGAAAGGTTTTGTACAGAGGAGTGACCTGGTCAGATTTCTGAGGCAGCAAGATTATTTTGGATGCTCTGTGAAGGACATATTGGAAAGAGGAGAGAATGGTATTGGGGGACTAAGAGAATTAGGAGGCTATTATCACATTCTAGGAGAGAGATGATAAGAGCCTGAAGAAGAAGGGTGGTGACCATGAGTATAGAGAGAACACAGACCAAAGGGTTGTGGCAAAGAGATTAACAAGCATCAGCTAGCTGCAACAAACAATAACTGGATAATTTTGTACCCAAGGCAAGAATATAAAATTTCTCACACACATAATCATCCTAATGGCATGACATGGTATTTTTCTATGTTCCTCATTGCTCACTAGAAGTAAGTGACCCTCATTCTAGTTGTGGGTCTGTCAACAACTGGTAACTAATTAGCTTTGACATCTGAAGGAGGGGTAAGAGCCAAGCATGACTCAGGTTATAAATCTGATAGACCAAAAGGATGGCAAGGTACCCTTGACAAAAATAAGGACGTTTTGAGCAGCACTATATTCGAGTTAGTTCATTTCTGGACATATCAAATTTGAGTTGTCCATAAGATAGTCAAGAGGAGATATCCAGGTATGGTTGGAGATGTGGGACTGTGTTCATGTGTTTATGGCCAACGTATACTTGTCAGAGTCATTGATGTAGAGAAAATAATTGGAGCTGGTGAATAAACTGATGAGATTACTGAGAGGGTGGGCAAAGAAAGGAAGACCCCAAACAGAACCTTATTCTTAATAATGTTCATTTTTAAATAAATACATTGTTGTCCAAACTAAAAGCAATGCAGCCTAAGAATAAGTGGTTAGAGCAGTCAAATCTATTTTTTTTCCTACTCCATGGAACAAGATACTCCCTATTGTTTCCCCTTCCTCTCTTCCCCCTTTAGATTGTAAGCTCCTTGAGGCCAGAGACTGTTTTTCTTTTTATTAATTTTATCCTTAGGGCTTAGCACGGTGCCTAGCACACAGTAGGCAATTAATGTTTATTGGATTGTATTGGAGAAATTAAATTCCTAAGATCCAGAGAAGAGTGCTTACTCAGGAAGCAGAGGTAGGGTGTGGAGTCCATGGCTTGTGGAAAAAAAAATGTAAATTTTATTATATCTGGTATTGTTTGGGCAGCGCCGGTATTCAAATAGAGCAAAAGCAGCAATTCGGTGCCTCATTTTCCTCATCTATAAAATGAGGGGGTTGAACTTAATGGCCTCTAAGGTCTTTTCAAGCTCTAAGTATGAATAGAACTATGACGTTGTGAGCTGGAACAAAGAAATCAACAACAATTGAATTATTTAAAGTTAGTAAACAATTATTAGTGTGTTTTTCATTTCTACCGTTTGGGTCTTTTTTTCGGTATATGAAACTATGAATCTCTATTACAGCTTGTTTTTAAAATGTATATTAAATTTAGCATGTGAGTACTAATGCTACCTTGCATTTCCAAATTAAAGTTGTTGTTCAGTTATTTCAGACTCTCTGTGACCCCATTTGGGGTTTTCTTGGCAAAGATGCTGGAGTGGTTTGCCATTTCCCTCTCCGGCTCA